GATAGGGATGGAGAGAGGAGCTCCGAACCAGCAGACTGGGAAGGCAATCTCCTAATGACCCTCCTTAAATTGTTCAGGGCTCAACCCAGGCCTGGAGTAAGACTCCAAGGACAGGGAAACCAAAATGGCCCTAGGCCTCCAGCCTTCTAGGGCTCCTAGGAAGTGTGTCCTCCCTCAACCTACTTGTGAGCAGCTCTCTCCAGATAGTGCTGACACTGCACCTTCTCCTGCCTTCTCAGGGTTCCCTCATCACCTTACTCTGTCTCCACTGGCCATACATGTCCTCCCATCACGTCCTTCCAGATATCTTATAAGCTCTTCCTTAGGCTGCTTCACAACTACTCCAAAGACACCAACCCTGCTCCCCTTCACTTTCTCACCTCTCATTTTCCCTAGTATGTGCCTTCATTTCAATATCCAGGAGAGCAGTGACAGTGGAAATGCTCAAACATATTGTCCTAGTCAAAAATCACGTGGCCCAGGAAAATCTGGGTTGAAGTAAACTAAACAGGAAAGGTCAAGCTCAAAGGTCACTGCCCTGGACATTGACTGGCTTCTTCTTTGCTGTATTAAACTTTCTCCTTCACTCACTCCATTTATCCACCTCACCCATTCCTCCTCACCCATTCCTCCCCACTAGCTTTAGCTAGTGAATATTCTCTCATCATGGGAAGTGGCCCAGCAATATCTCTCTCCACCCTAAACTCTCCCATGGCCAAAGCAAAAAGACTTTGATCTTCACCACTATTCTCCACTAGAAGGAACTAGGATTCCACATCAGGGAAGCTCTGGAATATCCCACCATGTCCAAAAAGCAAATGAACCATTGTGCTCTAGGAGGCTCTGCTTCCTTTAATATGTTCACAGCACATAAGAGACTAGTATTCTGCAAGGAGCAGTGGTGCATGCCTGAAGTCCCAGTGACTTGGGAGGCCGAGGCAGGAGGATTGCAAGTTCAAGGCCAGTCTCAGTAACTTAGCAAGGCCCTTAGAAACTTAGTGAGGCCCTATCTCAAAACAAAATGTACCAAGGATTAGGGATGCAGCTTCAGTGGTTCAATGTAGCACCCCTGAGTTCAATCCATACTATCAGAAAAAATTAATTAACAGCAGAGTATTAAAAAACTTGCAGAATTTTTAAATTTGGAGAAAGATTTGTTTTTGATTAGATGTTTAAAAAATATAGAAAATGTTGGTTGCACATAAGGTATAGAAAAAAATCCTTAAAGGAATGATAATTTAAAAAATGTTTAAAAGAGCTGAGCAGTAAATTTGAATTCCTTCCTCTGCTTACATGGAACCCTAGCAGACACAAATAGAATCCAGTAGTTCTGAAGCACCCAGACCAGCTTCTCTCAGTGGCTCTACTCCTGGAGCTCCTGCTCCAATTTTGTGTATCAAATGCCTTCACACTTCACAGAACCAAAATAAGATGGAATCATCTTCTTGCCCCTTCTTCTGCCCAACTTCCTGCTGCCTCTCCTTCTTCCCTTATCCCAGAGAGATCAGGGCATCAGGCTTCTTGCTATTCCTTTCTCTCTTTTCTTCTATTCCCACATGTTGATTCTTTTGTTTGTTGTTTCACTCATTTATTCAAATTCATTTTCTTTGTGTGCTGAGGATTGAAGAACTCAGGGCCATACATATGCTAAGCACATGTTCTACCACTCAGATACACCGCCCCACCAGAAATATTTCAGGGCATCAAAGATGCCTCAGTCAAGCCAGGCATGGTTGTGCAAGATCCCAGCAACTAGGAAGACTGAAGCAGGAGGATGGCAAGGTAGAGACCAGCCAGAGCCACTTAGTAAGAACATGTTTCAAAATATAAAAAAAGGGACTGGGGGTGTAGTTTGGTGCTTAAAGACCTGAGGGTTCAATACCCAGTAGCAAAAACATAAAGCCCAGTCACTGCACTGGGGATGAAAGCAGACTGTAAACAGCACAACCAGACTACTTTCAGGGTGGCGAGGGCAACAGCAACACAAGGCCCTGAGCTCTGTGGAAACTGGCCAGGTTAGTGCAGAGAGAGGATATCATGGCCCAGGAAATCTGGGTTGAAGTAAACTAAACAGTAAAGGTCAAGCTCAAAGGTCACTCAGGGTGTAGAGTTTGGTGCTTAGGCAACCCAGTTCACAGCACCCAGGCACATGCAGAGGAGAAGCCCAGAGATTTACACAATAAGAAACTACTTCTTATTTCAGCTACTTATGGTTTCAGAGGCTGTGTCTGATCCAGAGAGAGTAGTCTAAAGAATGTCTGCTGGCTTTGGTCATTGATGAGAGCATCATTGACAGCAAGGGCTGGGGCTGGGCTGATGTGTGACAGGAAGTGAAGGGTGGAGCTAGTGAGCAGGGTCAACTCTTTCAAGGAATAAACACAGAAGGTACAACAGCAGATATTAGGGTGGGGCTTTCTTGGCTTTTAAAATGAGGAGAAATGTGTTAATACCCACGAGAAGCAATGGTAATAATAGTAACAGCAGCACATAGGGCACTTTCTGGTCTAAGCCACTGTTCTGTGTGTAGTTTGTGAATTAACCCATGCTGCCCTCTTTTACAGAGAGGAAAACAGAGTGATCAGGTGGCTAAGTAGCATACACAAGGTCTGTCTGCTGGTATGTGGTAGAGCTGTGATTTAGACTTCTGTGGTCTGGCTCCAGAGTCCTTGCTACCAAGCAACAAACAAGTGGCTCCAGGAGGAGTTGCAGTCAGGGAATGGAGTGAGGAGGGAATGAAAGTGGGAGCATGTAATCAGTATCTGCAATGGGTGCTGCAAGTAAGGGAAAGGAGCCCTGTCTGGTGAAATCCAGTGGGCAGGTCACACTTAGGCTTCTTGAGACTGGGGATCCTGGAATTAGAGGGCCTTATTCTGAGCAGAGGAGGAAGGGCAATGGCCTATGGCCTAATCTGGGGCTGGAAAAACCACAGGATGGAGGAAGGGAAAAGGCTGCCAGGAAAACTCAATGATGGAGTGAAGCTGAAGAGAGGAGAAGACAGGCAGACCACAGGGCTGATGGATAAGGGCCAAGCACAGGAGTCACAGGTGGGAGGGGGACCAGATATGGCAGTGGTGGGGTGATGACTAAAGGATGGGAGGTGAGGAGCAGAGAGGCTCCTCTGTCTGTTCAGCTAACTCAGGGTCTGCAGCTCCCCCCTCCCCCATTGATGCTGCCCACCAGTCTTCCTGAAAGAGCCTTTAGTCAAGAGATTGTCGTACTAAAGGAATCCCATGGCAAAGATGCCCACTCCTATCATTCCTATTCAACACTGAAAAGGAAAAAAAATAAAGACACATAGATTGGAAAGGAGGTGATAAAACAGTTTTTCACAGAGGACATAATTTTCCACGTACAATGAGCAACACTACTTAGCAGTAGAGCACCCCTGATTCAATCACAGGAATGTGATCGGAAAAAGAACAAAACTAAGAACTTCTACCAAAACTTTACCAAAGACATACCAATGGCCAAGAAGGCTTGAAAATATGCCCAACGTCATTACTCATTAGGAAAACACAAACGGAAGCCTTAATAAAATGCCAATACTCATATATTAGCCAGGTTACAGTGAAATTACAAAATAAAATAACAACAAATGACAGTGTCAACTGTGGTAGGAATGTGAAGCAACTGGAATTCTCATGCATTGCTGGTAGAAATTAGGAATGATACAGTGTTTTGGAAGACAAACTTAGCAATTTCCTATAAAGTTCCACACATGGTTGCTTTATGACTCAGCAATGCCACACCTAAGAATTGACCCAATAGAAATGAAAATTTATGTTCACATGCCTGCACACTAATGTTGTTGGCAGCTTTATTTATAACTGTCAAAAACTATTTTATATAGTGACCCACACCTGAATCCCAGTGTAAGGGAGGCTGAGACTGGAGGACTGCAAGTTCAAAGCGAGCCTCAATAACTTAGCAAGGCCCTCAGCAACTTAGTGAAACCCTGATTGAAAAAGAAAAAACTAATTTTAAAAAGGTGGGTATAGGGAGGGCAGGGATGTAGCTTTGCAGTTAAACATCCCTGAGTTCAATCCCTGGTACAAACAAAACAAAACAGAAAAACTAGACACAGTGTAAAGACCCTTCAATTGGCAAATGAATAAATAATGTGTAGGGCATTCATATAATACTCTACAGCAATAAAAGGAAATAAAGAACTGATAGGAGCAATACAAGGATGAATCCCAAATGCATTGTACTAAATGAATGCAGCCAGGCTAAATAGGCAAAGACTCTCTTTATACAGATTCTGGCGAAAGAAAACCAGAAGAATGTAGGGAGAGAAATTGACAACAGAAGATGATGAAAGGATTTTCTGGAGTAGTGAAATTAGTCTAGCCTTGATCATGGTTGAGAGTGCAGGACAGTATCCATCTGTCAAAATCCTTGACCATAGGCCAAATAGGGTGAATTTTACTGTGTATAATTATGCCTCAATAAATGACTTTTAAAAAAAAATCCTACATGGCTCCCAGGTTTTTATTTCATCCAAACTAAATTTTATAGTTGACTTTCTGGGCCTTGTTAATCTTGATCCCCACAAGGTCAACTTCATCACCCATGCCACCTTAATCTTAAATTAGAGCCATATCTTTATCATTCCAATATCATCCTTCTTTTGCACAAGTGTGTCTCTCATAGGCAATGCCCTTCTGTCCTCTGCCTCTCCACAATCATACCTAGGTTCCTAGAGTGGCTACAGTGTGGGCCTCGTCAAACTCTCAGTTTCTTCCAGTCTGCTATACCACTGAGGACCGTCACACCCCCTCAGAGTGCTCCTGGGTGTCTGCTTGGTGTTATTCTGATTGAAGGATGCTTATCAACACAAGTGCAGGATGTACTTACTCACCTCCATACCCATCCCTCAAATAACACATAGGCTAGCACACAGTAGGCTCTGGAAGCAATACATCTAGGAAGGAGAATGACCAGTGAGCTCCAGGGAGAGGAGACATCTGAGCTGCATCTTAAGGTGGGTTTGGAAGGACTAATGAGGCACAATCAGGGGCAAGGGCAGTGGAGAAGGCACAGAAAGTGCCCAGGTGGCAGAGGTGCACAACCGGGTAACCCAGCACAGGCACTGGGCCCCGCTTACCTGTCTAGTTGAGAATCTAGGCCCTCGAAGGGGCGTGTGACGGTGCTCACTGCTATAGCCTGGCTCAGCAGCCCCAAGATGAGTGGCAGCAGGGTGCAGGTGGCAGGGAGAGCCACTATGAAGCTGTGAGTTGGCTAAGAAGTCAAGCCTGGGGACATTTCCTCCCTGGACCCGCTCCTTGACACAACTCCACTTTCACTGGACCTGCCACCTACTCTTCCTCCCTAGACTGGACTGATAGTCCAGTAAAACCAAGGAAAACCTTACTCTACCAGGCTGTCCTCCTTCCTATCCCTTTTCAACCTTCATTACCCTTCTCTATGACCCACTAGATTCTTAACTGCACAGTCCATCCTACCCACCCCCCCATCTCCCTGCCCCGACTCACCTTCAACATGTCATTGATAGGTCCTCCCAAGAGGCTTTTCCCTCTACTCCACGCACAACATCCCCTGCCCCCACTTATACCAACCCTTGGCTCTCTGCCCCTTCCTCCTCACAACCCCTGCTATTCCCATCTGTGCCCTTGGGACTGTGTGGATATGCCATGGCTTTGTCCAAGAAGAATGGCATCTCTCTGGTGCACACAAAGAACATGACACACCTCACCAGCACAGCACCCAGGTAAAGGCAAAGCAACCCAAGTAGCAGCAGGAACAGCTGGCTATTACAGTGCCCCACAAAGTTGTTCACCCACGTACAGTGGTGGTCAAACTCCTAGGGGGGGAGGAGGCAGGCCTTGAGGGTCTATCTAGCCTGGCCTTCATCACCTTCAAATGCTCAGGCTTCCACTAAAGTGGCCCTCTAGGCCTACATGTGGGCTCCCATATCAGGGTGAACCTGGCATTTCCACTGGTAGAGCACAGTTAGGACTCCATGGCTCATCAGGTCATCTCACATGAATGAGGTCTTTAGGGACTAGATTCTCCTGGTGTCACTCAGAGCAGGATATAGAATAACTCTGGACCTCTGTTTTCTCAGATACTAGATAAGCATGGAAAGAACTCCCTGGCCCAGCCAGCCTTCTTCATTTGGAAACCCATGCAGGGTGTGCACATGAGAGAAGAGCACTTGGAAACCAAGAAAGACTCCAACTTGGACACCCAGATGAAGACAGGCAAAGACCCCCAGGAACACAGCAGCAGCTGGCCTAAGGGTCTGGGTATCTAGTATCAGCAAACCAGGGAGTGGGACAGGTGCTGCCTTTACTCCCCCTGATTCCACCAGGCTCCATACAGATGTGATAGTCTTTTGCACGTCAGTACCTGTGCTAACAGGGCCAGACTCTCAGGTCAGGTGCAGATATAGAGGTGATAAGAAACGTCAGCAACCGAGAGTGGCTAGGAGCCACTTTTAGCAGTGTGGAAAGATGGTCTCTTACCCATTCCTGGCCCACTTATGCTGTGAGGTTCCCAGTATTGGCCAGGTGCCCCTTGATGGGTTGGTGAGTGGACAGGGAAGAAGAGTATCACCTCCACACAGATGTTACAATATTCACAGTGGAAGGTCCTGGGTGGGCAGTGGAAGGAGCAATGGGGACACCAGGGTATCAGAAAAGCCTTTTGATACATCCAGGTGATGTATGCTGCCTCAGGGTCCTGCTCAAGGGAGCCTGGCATGGGAAGAAGTTTGGGCAGTGGCAGGAGGCCTTTCCATCATGTGGCTACTCAGAACAGCCCCATAGCATCACTGGGCAACAAGAAGGGTGGGGAGGAGGTGGGCAGGGGAATCCCAGTCCCTGTTGAGCAGGCTGTCCAATCCCATGGGCTGGCAGTCAAAGATAAGAGGGTTTCCAGCCACAAGAGTTCTCTATATGGCTCCCCACTTTGGAATAGTGATCAGTGCTTGAGGTTGGGTGTGAAATGAGAAGGAAGAAGAGGGAACTGTGTGGTTTGGAAGAGCCTTCTGGCCTCTCTGCCAGTCCTCCCTTCTAAAGCAACTGGAAAACCTCCAGGATTCTGTTTCTTCTCGCCTCAGTGGCTTGGGAAATGAAGTGCCAGGGCCTAAGTGATGATGACATTGAGAGAAGGGCTCCTGAGTCATAGATGGGGTTAGCACTTTAGAAATCACCCCTGTAGGCCTCAGCCCTTGGGGTGCCACCTCCTTCTCCCAGGGGTCTGAGGCTTTACCTGGGTATAAGATACCTGGGTTAGAGAAGCTCAGGGACACCAGGCTGCCAAAGGTGACCAGAAAGAGGAAGGCAATAACCAGGGCAAAGCCATCTCCCCATTCAGAGCAAACCACCTGCATCTGAAACCAGAGGCTGACTCAGTCCTAGTCTGGGGCAACCCAGAGATCCCCAGGAGACCTGGCTCACCTGAGGTTGGATTCACAGACCACAAGGACAGATCTAAATATCCAAGTTAGAGACAGACCACAGAGACACCACCAAATGTCATCAGCATTACCAGCCTCCCACAGTTCCCTAAATGCAGCAGGCACTCTAGACCTCTGTGCTTCTATCTATATATCCTTCTTCCCTTCCTGACCCTCTCTCTCCACTTCCCTGCCTCTGCACTATATCATTGTCTATTTTCCCTTCTATCTCTTTGTAAGAAACCTGACAGATTGTATGGAGACTCACAGAAAGGCAAAGAACACAGCATGACATTCAGCAGCAATACCTCCTTGAAAGTAGCAAAAAGACCAGGGATAATCCAAGCATGTCCAACTGGATATTGGTGGGGGGCTTCAAGTCATTGGAGAATGCCATAACTAGGCCTCCTCTTCTGAGCAAAATGAAGCCACCAATAACTTCTTCTGAGTTTACACCCAGAGTGCCATGACAACAGCAGGGAAGGAAAGAATATCAAGTGTGACATCACAGAGATTCCAGAATGAGAGCTCTGTCTGCTTCCACTGACTTCTGAGAGCAACCTTTCCTCACCCCCATATATACATGTTGTGAACAAGGACATCCTGCCCTTATGATGTTGGAGGTTATAAAGGAAGGATTCTTGTGTGGGAGTGCCTAATAATTATGATCGCAAAGGACTCTAGAGTCACAAATATATCCTGAGTTAATTTGAGACTGATCTCATAGACCTACAAATCTTCCTAAACTTCTTATATTGATAAACTTGATCTGTTTTTCATTGATAAGATTATGAGTTAACCGTCTTCATGCTTTTCAGAGACTGGCTGAAATATAATTGCTTTTTGCTAATTGTTAACAAAATAATGTTTCGCTGTCTTATTTATTGTTGTAAATACATAGAAGCTTATAAGACCTTTCCTTCAAACAAGTTTCTTGTTCAATTTGCCAGGCAATTTCTTCGATTTTCTTCTTTCTAGTAACTCTTGAAAGGATTTATTCAATAACTTATGAAGCCTCTCATATGGAAAATGAACTAAAAGAGGGTATTGCCTTAAGAAATAATGTTCCGTACATGCTAATGACTAAAATGTAGCCTTCTTTGCTTCTTAGAATCTATGTTTAAATATAGCACCTTATGTCTTACATCTATCCCACTCCCCTTTCAAGTACTAATAAATATGTGCCATACCAAAAAGCCAAAAACAAAAACTGAAACAAAACCCCTCAAATAAACCTTCTTTCAACAAGTTTCTTCCTGAAGCCACACCGGGTTTTGTCTCCCTTCTCAGCCAAATACCTCAAAAGCAGAGTCCATCCTCAATGTGGCTCTTCACTTATTTACCTCTTTACCTATTTATTTCCCAACTGACTGGGATCTTCTACCTCTGCCCCTGCTGTTAACTGCATGGCCTTTTTTAGGCTTTTTTTTCTTGCCTTCTGTTTAGTCCAGTCACTAACACTCCCCATTCTTCTAAAGATTTCTCTTCCCAATTCCTTTGGTTTTCTAGTAATTTCCCTTTTCTGGACCCCAATTCCTTGATTTCTCCTTTTACCTCACTAGTAATTTCAATGTGTGGTAGAAGAACTTAGTTCCACTTAACCAACTCACTGAGTTGGGGATGGTTCTCCTCTCTTTAACATCAAGCTGTCAGACAGATACCACTTGCCTCTCTCCTTCATCTCCCAGGGCTGAGAACTCGTGGCACAGAAACTAATCTGTATTAAGCCTTGCATGTCTACGGATCTGTATGCTTAGTAGAAACAAGCATTTTTTCTAAAAACAGATTGCATTTGCTATTTTAATTATGCAACTTAATCAAATATCATGTAAACTTAGAAATATGAGGGTGGATTAAAAAAAGAGTTGTTTATGAAAATTAAGAGAGTGCTTTGGGAACGCTTCATAGAGGTTGGTGGCTTAAGTAAAAATTACAGTCAAATTAGGTGAAAAATAAGATCAAGAAAAAGAATCCTCAAAAGCTAATTGTATTTTACCTTGAGATTACCTTACCATGTACCTCTCACTGATGGTCTGACTGAAATCTGTACATGATGATGCTCTGTGGCTTAAAAGGCAAAGCTGAGGGCTGGGGTTGCAGTTCAGTGGTACGGCGTTTGCCTCACATGCATGCATGAGGCACTGGGTTTGATCCTCAGCACCCCCATAAAAATAAATAAGATAAGGATATTGTGTCCATCTTAAAAAAAAAAAAAAGGCAAAGCTAAAGCTGAGCTCTAACCAACAGCAGCCAAAAAAACCAACCAACCTCTAACAACAACCAAAAACATTGGTGCTACATTAAAAGACAATTTAATCAAAGTACACTTTGAGGTTTTAAGGTGACTATGCATCAATTTTATAATTCCCAGCTTTAACTGATTCTACTAAGGCCAGGTTCTCCCATGATTGCATAAGAAAGCATCTTCCTTCCCTGTTCTGCCCGCTCTGTGAGCAATTAAATTTCCAACCACAGCTTCAACACAGCTTTTAAACAAGTACCAAATCTGCATGCTCTTTGCATCAAGGATCACTGGTGCCTTCATCCCTGCATCCGCCACCTGCACTTTTGTCCCTGCACTGTGCCTTGTATGTGGTAACTATTTTTTTTTTTAAAGCTGAGATTTAAAGTATATTGAAAACATTAGTCTGCAAATGGTAACCCAAGAATTAGAAGTTGGGCTTCAAGGAAAGTGTCTCTCTCTCTCTCTCTCTCTCTCTCTCTCTCTCTCACACACACACACACGCACACACACACACACACACACACACACATCCCTTTGTTTTGAAGTCATAACATACTCCTACTCAACAATGAAAATGCTCCATTAATAATTATAATAGGAAATTATCATTTTAAGTTGGGTAGCTGAAGCTTAATTAAAAAAATCATATGTCATTTTTCAAAGCATATAGACAACATCAAGTACATTCATTTCATTTGAAAGTCTAAAGTTTCACTTCTCTCTTGAGCCCTGTGAACAGATTTCCTGTGAACCAGACAGGACAAATGTGATTATCCTTTCCCTTTTACAGATGAAAGAACTAATGATCCTAACAGTTACTCACTTACTCAGGATTGAACCCAGAGGCACTTAACCACTGAGCCATATCTCCAGCCCTTTTTACTTTTTATTTTGAAATAGGGTTTCCTTACATTTCTTAGGGCCATGCTGAGATGAAGAGACCAGCTTTCAACTTGTGATCCTTCCGCCTCAGCCTCCTGAGTCACTGGGATTACAGATATGTGCCACACCCCTGGCAATCACTTCCTCTGGACCTCACAGATAGTTTGTGACTCAAATGGGCTTTGTACCATGACACTATGCATATCAAGACATCTGTTTTTTGGGGGGGTGGGGGATACTGGGGATTGAACTCAGAGGCACTCCACCACTGAGCCACATCACCAGTCCTGTTTTACATTTTATTTAAAGACAGGGTCTCCCTGAGTTGCTTAGCACCTCGCTTTTACTGAGGCAGGCTTTGAACTCACTATCCTCCTGTCTCAACCTACCAAGCTACTGGTATTACAGGCGCACGCCACCACGCCAGCTCACATCATGTATTAAATGCCCTTTTACAATTGGGCTGAAGCATCAAGGATCAGATAATGAAAAGTCAAACCTTGAGATCCAGGGCTGGGCTGGGGTTGTAGCTCAATGGAAGAGCACTTGCCTAGCATGTGTGAGTCATTGGGTTCAATTCTCAGCACCACATTAAAAAAAACACAAAAAAAAAAAAAAAAAAGTCCATTGACAACTAAAAAAATACTTAAAAAAAAAAACCTTTAAGATCCATAGTCTTTGCTCATCTGCCCCTAGGATTATGTGCAGGATTATGGCAGTACACTTAAGTTCTTTAACACAGTTTCCAACAAAGTTCTCAGAAGGAAAAATAAATTAATAATTCATTTAAAATATCTTCCTATTAATTAACATATCCAATTTGCTTTCCTTTGATTAATAGTTATTTCAAGAAAAGAAACTGACAGTGATGGGAGTTTTGCCAAAGGGTTATTTTAGATTAGCCTACTTTGTCTTCAAGAAGGAAAGTCCAGTGTGTATGCATGTGGGTGAAGTGAGGCTGTGAGAGAAGGGCATTGTCATTGTGAAAGCTCTGGAAAATTAAAAGCGGTTACTAAAATATTGTTTCCAGGGGTTGAAGAGTGGAATTACAGAATAAAATGGCAAACAGCAGTGTGATCCCTGATATTGTTTCTATCTCATAATTTTAATTTGGGCTGAATTTAATATTGTAATAACTTGATTCTTATTATATTTTATTAGACAAGTTATTTTATTTTTAAGTAATGCTATTGATAACTCCTTTGTTATGACTTAAAATATTTTTGGAAAATATAGCATAAAGAATGCTTATGGGGGCTGGGGTTGTGCTTCAGTCGTAGAGTGCTTTGCCTAGCACATGTGAGGCACAGGGTTCAATCCTTAGCACCACATTAAATAAATAAAATAAAGGTATTGTGTTCATCTACAACTAAAAATGAATTTTTTAAAAAAGAATGCTTATGAAACAGATTATTATTTCCTTTAGGAATAGATTTTAAAATAAATGGTGACTATCTTACTCAAGAGTTAGCATTGGAAATATGACCAGTTATGTCTCATGACAATTAACTATCTATCATGTAACATTAATTATTAATATCTATCATATAACATTAAAATTATAATACCAATGGGGAGGGAAAGAAATAATATTGGCCAAATTATGTTACATTGTGTGCATGTACACATATTTAACAACAAATCCCACCATTATGTACAACCATAATGCACCAGTAAAAATATGGAAGAAATTGTACCAGTTTTATAAAAGTCACAGAAAAGCCAAGTGTATCTTTTAGACAAAGAAATCCAACAACCTACATTTGAGTATGTGTGTGGAGGGGGGACATTAAAAATATTATGTTTTGAGGCTGGTAATGCAGCTCAATGGTAGAATGCTTACCTGGGCAAGAGGCCCAGGGTCCAATTTCTAGCTACACACACACACACACACACACACAGATTATGTTTTATGTTTTTCTGGATACTGATATTTCCTGTGGTCTCTGTTGTCTCTGAGTTACCAAAAGCTGTGCTATAGTGAAAAGCCAAATGAGCCATTGGAAGACTTCAAAAGTTTACTTCTGAGCTCATAGATGGTTCCCTTCTGTACATTCTAAAGTTCTATAAAACTAAACTCCCCCCCTAAAAGTACTGTGCTAGTTAGCTCATTATATACTAATTATGATAAGCACTAAGCAATAAACTCATAAAATTTCATGTGCTGCCTTGAATTTCAGAATTTAGGGTGTGCTTGATGGTCCAGTTTTAGAATATTGTCAAATATTGTCCAAGAAATTTGAAACAATAGTTCCTGCTTCTTCAGTCAAGCTATATATCTTGTGGCAGTAGGGCATCCTAAATAATTTTCTCCATTACCAAAGTACTGTGCTTTAGGGATGTTCATAGTTTTTTTTGTTTTGTTTTGATTTTACTTATGAAAGGTCATCATCTACCTCCCCCTTTACCTTTGCCTGACTCCTTAAATAGCTGAAAGCTGCAAAGGTAGGGGTTAGTAACAGACCACAGCAAGGCACCCAGAAACAGTGCATACTCAGCCATGCTTTTAGCCACCAGCTACTTCTTTCTTGGCTTATCTGCTGACAATTACCACCAGGTCCTGAGCAACATCCTGTGAAAAAGGAGTTATAACACATCTCTTACACAATCCTCAAAAACACAGAATACCTTGAATTTAGCTTCCATTACCTGCTGAAGGGTCCTGGTAAAGGTGGCAAGCAGCAAAGCAAGTGTGTTAATTAGGTGACAACAAGTGGATGAAGTGGCAAAAAGACAATTTTAAATAGAGTGGAAGTCTTGTAAAGGATAAAAGATACACGATTTCTGTAATTATTAAAAGGTTGAAACCATTGTTCATTGATACTAGCAAGCTGTTTTATTTTTTTATTTGGTGCATGATAATTATACATGGTGGTAATGTTTGTTGTTACATATTCATGCAAGGACACAGACTGATACCCTCCTTTCTCTCCCTTCCAATCCCTCCTGGTCTCCTTGATCTACTCCCTGGTCTCCTTTTTATTCATGATATGCTGTCTGTGCCCCCCCCCAACCCCACCCCTTTCCCCCTTTATCCCTCTATCTTTCACATGAGAAAAAAATATATGATCCTTGACTTTTTTACTTTATTTATTTATTTGTTTTTAAATATTTATTTATTTATTTAGTTTTTGGCGGACACAACATCTTTTTGTTAGTATGTGGTGCTGAGGATCGAACCCGGGCCGCACGCATGCCAGGCAAGTGAGCTACCGCTTGAGCCACATCCATTTTTAAATTTCCCGTATTCATCTGTTTTAGGTGTTGATTTCCTTTGCAAATTAAAATCCTGAATTCCATTTGTAGTAAAGAGATTTAAATAAAAACTCAGACAATGGGAATTATTTACTTTATGATCCCAAACATTATTAATTTAGAACCATCTTTTATTTTAAAGTATACATCCATTTTCTTTCCCAACTTTATTTTTCTCAATCTCCCCCAATTTGAAAATGAACATATTTGTTTAAAATGATAAATTCTCTTCAGCCAGAGAGAATGCTAAAGTTCCCAAATGTTAACTTAGCCCTTCTTGAATATAAGGTTTTGAGTCTCTTTAATTTCTTTCTAATTAGAAATAGAGTAATGTCAGTAAAATTCCTCAGGGTTTACAATTTTCAAATATTAAGCATATATTTTTAACTGTGTCAAATTATATTCATGTAGAAATATAATATTTTTTAAATAATAAGGAAACAAAAAATAAAAGTAACAATAGACCTTCCAAGAGCAGTATAAGTAGCTCATATATTAAAAGCTCTACTCAAAGGCAATGTTATGTAAATTCAATAATAGATCCTGGATTCCTTTGTGTTAGCTGTTCAACTCTGTACTGATATCTTCAAGAAACTAGCAGAATACTTCACCTTGGAAATGTAACATTTTAAAGTCACTGCCATTAGTGATGTTATGTACTTTTACACACTATTCTTTTTTTAAAAAAAATTATATTTTAGTTGGACACAATATCTTTATTTATTTATTTTTATGTGGTGCTGAAGATCAAACCCAGGGCCTTTCTTGTGCTAGTCGAGCGCTCTACCGCTGAGCCACAACCCCAGCCCCTACACACTCTTCTTGAATTTGAAATAATAGATAAGTTCAGGTAATAATTTTTTCTCCATTTCAAATTTTATGACTAAAATATTGAGTTGTGTTTTATAGTCTACATTCATTATATTCTGTAAAGTCAGACAGGAGCTTTAGGGAAAGAATACCTTTAGAGTCTGGAATTAAATGTGAAGCAATCAGAAGTTTAAAATGAGTAATCATGTATTCAAGAAGCATAAGAATTTCCCAAAGATCCCGAAATACAACTAAATACTGCATACTGAGTGATAGATGAACAATAGTTTGCCAATGCTTTGTAAAATTTCTGTTTCTTTTGTGGCCAAGAAAATTTTCAATTCAAGTGTAGGCCAGAATAATTATTATAAACGAATTCCCTCCAAAGCAGTTTGGGTAGTGTTATGGATATTTGTATAGCAACTTTTTTTTACACTGAAAACAGAAGGAATTTTTAGGTATGAGGAATTCTACAGGAATCCCACTAATTAATCAGTCTCAAAGTCTAAAACAGAAAGAGGGAAATTTAAAGTGTCAAATAACAAGTAAGGTCACATACTATTTACACAGAACAAGACTCCCAAAATACTTCAGACCATTTCTTCTCAAATTAGGTACTTCTCATCATAATGAACCAAATACAATTTCTTAATATTACATGTTTAAAAAGAATGTGAACTTGGTTTCTATAGAAGAGAGATGGAAAGAGGAGGATGCTGAACTAGATTCCAGTCTTGCTGAGCAACTAACTTTCTGCAAGACCTGGAAGTTTCTAATGCTATCAGTCACTTTGGTAAAATATGGCTTATTTACCAACATGTTCAATACCCTGTTTTAATAAGTAAGACAGTGTACTTGTAAGTGAAAGCATTTTTAACAATATAATGTGTTATTTTTCATTAGCAAAAAGGACATATCAGGCACATTTAATCTCTGCAGTAGTATAAATGTCACAGGCTAGCTTGGTTGTAAATTGGTTCATTTTATGGCTCTTGGCAACTTATAATTTCAGAGTCCACCTAAAAAATTCAGCAACAGGGACTATCTTTAGTTTGTATTGGCTAAATAGATCTACCCCTATCCTGAGCAGTCCCCATTATTGATGGTGACAACTAAAGTTCAGTTAGAATACATAAAAATTATGTACCACATTATTGTGGCACTTGAAAAATAATTTACTTACCTTAGAATTCAGATCAAGAGAAGAAATAATTATCATTTATGCGTAAATTCAATCCCCCTCCAAGTACATAAAAAGAACACACTATTGATTTCTCTGCCGCGATATGGGATTATACATTTATTTTATTTTATTTTCCTTTTGACAAAGGGAACTGTTGTTGGCCTTTAAAATGTAATTTGCAAATGTAACTGATGTACTTTTTGCCACCAATAAAACAAATACATATGACAAAAAGAATGCAAACTCATTTCAGCCTGTAAGATTTGTTTTTAAACTATTCTATTTGCAGCCAGGGGAAATACATGAGATCATGTCTTTTTCTCTGCCAACAGCAAATTGATTTCCCCACCCCACGTGGACAGTTGAGCAGTACTAGTCTAGCAAGCTTAAAGTCTCCCAACTCCTGTCATACCATCTGTGACCATGCAAGCGTCTTGGTTAGTAAATTGGATGGGGCAAGACAGTCCACGGGGCATCTCCTGTTCAACTAAGGAGACTGTGCTGACTTTGTGGCTATCCTCTGTGGCTGCCGCATCACACAGAAGAGTGCAAGAAAAAAAAAAAAGTGGAAGGAGTACTCAGCAGGGTGCACGCGGTTTCTGCCATCCACGTCTTCATTTGTGCAAATACTGTACTACTCCCCACGTGCCTTCCAAGAGCGCCCCCCTCCCTGCATATATACACACACGTGCACCCGGAACCTCACCCAGTTTCAGGCTCAGACTTGTCCCCCGCCCACCCAGAGTCTCCCGCTCCTCCACCTCTCCCCCACCCTCCCGGGCTCCACGTGGGCGCACCCCGGCGCCAGGCAATCGCGCGGCCCACGGAGCCCTGAGTCGGCCCCGATCTGGGAGGGAAGGCGCGGCCCGGGGTCGGACGGACAAAGCGTGTGTCCAATCGAGCCTAGCACTGCCTCCCCGAAGGGAGGGAGCGGCGGCTCGGACCGGCCCAATGAGCTGGGAGCCCGAGTGGGACTTCCTCCCGGAATCCCGTTGGCCAGAATAGCGGGGCCGTGGGTGACACGTAAGTTGGGTGGGAGGTGGCGGCGGCCGAGGCTCCAGCAGCCGGGTCAGTGACACTGTACCACCGTTCCCCAAACCCGGCCAAAGCAACCTGCCCCCCCCCACACACCTATCCACCCACCCGGCTAGCCAAGCGCGGGGGCGCCGCCCGGAGCCCGCTCCCTTTGTTGGGCTAGCACCCTCTCTTTTAGTGGCAACAAAGTCGTGCAGTGGGAGCCGGCGCGAGGGGGCGGGGAGCAGCCGGGGCGGGACTCCCGAGAGCCGCCGGGGACAGCGAGGCCAAAAAGTGGGGAGGAGGAAAAAAGCAGGCGGTGTCTGGGGACTGGCGCTAGGGCAGCCGGTTCTAAAGTATGCGGAGGGCCCCCTCCTGGGCCCGGGCACTCGCTGAGAGCGAGCCTTGCAGAAGTTTGGCGGCCCCTGCCCTGGCGGCGTTGATGGCTGTGCGCCCCGCGGCGCGCGGGGGCTGAGCGGGCGCCACTTCCCCTCCAGCCCCGCTTTTGTGTCTCGCGTCTCCGTATGCGGCGCCCGGCCACCTCCTGCGGTGGCCGCTGCTGAACGCACGCTCGGGCGGTGGAGAGGAGGCGACCGCTACCGCCGCAGCGCAGGGTTTAGGCGGGACTATGGGAAACGGGATGTGCTCCCGAAAACAGAAGCGGATCTTCCAGACGCTGCTGCTGCTGACCGTGGTATTTGGCTTTCTGTATGGCGCGATGCTCTATTACGAGCTGCAGACACAGCTGCGGAAAGCCGAGGCGGTGGCGCTCAAGTACCAGCAGCACCAGGAGTCCCTCTCTGCCCAGTTACAAGGTACAGTGGACGCGCGCGGCCCTTGGCCAACTTTGCCCTGTGCTTTCACCAGGGCTGGAAAAGTGACGTTTATTAGCCTTTGACACAGTGGCTGTCACCTCTGACCTTCAGGGACATCAGAATGAGCGGTGCAGGGCTCCCGCCCCCCCCATCCCCCGCCCAAGTGTCAGGGGAGATGACATCCCCATTCTCTTCCTTCCTTTCAGCGGTTTCCTTTGAAATCTGTAGCACCAGTCCATCTTCCAGCGGGGCGTTTGGTGGGCGGGTGATCAGGGAGTACTTTAACCCAGCACTTGTCAGAGGCCCAGCTACAGTCCAAGCAGGCATACTGGTAACTCTCCAGCCGCTTCTGCCAGCCTGTCCCTGAGAGGTTTGGTTCCCTGGTTTCTAGGTGTTTGCTTTCCAGTTGACTTTACCAGTCGCCTAAGGAATGAGGAGTTGGGCAGAGATTTCTCAAACTGATGTTTTTCAAGGAAAAATAATAGCCCCAACTAGTATCAGTTGAATGGGACCAAAACCTGCTAGTTTTTTTTTTTTAATTGTTACCTCAATAGGGTGATTTGGAGGTGTTGGGTGTGTGGGAAAAGCCCACACTACCTAACTGTTCACTATGCTGCAGGTATTTTGTCTTTTTAAAAAAAGATTTGTCTTCCTGAGCATTTAATTCATCAGACAACTGTGTGTGTGTGTGTGTGTGTGTCTGTGTCTGTGTCTGTGTGTCTGTCTGTCTTACAGATAGCCTTGGGAAGTCAAAGGCCAGAAACAGTTTTTAAAGTTGTCAGGCACAGCAAACATAATGTGCAAAATCTGTAGAAAGAATTAAAGCTTGTGTCCTTCTAGTTTGGAATATCATTTAATGTAAATTTAAGAAACATAAATGATGCATGACTATACCATGTGGTCTTGTTAAGGACATAGTCATCACATATATGTATATATTTTTTGAAAGCTTTTAGCTTTTACCTCTACTTGTGGTTTGTTTTCAACACATATGTGGTCCTCCAACACCCCCAAGTGATAAATAGTGAAATGCTAACAGTCTTAGCTGATAATGCAAATATAGCTTATTTTATAGTATTAGGCAGAAGCAAGCTGGAGGGTCCTTTTTGTTTTTGTGTGTGAATACAAATATGAAACAGATGCCTTTTCTTTGCTCCAGCTATTCGGGGTGTTTTCTAATAAAAAGTTTAAGATGAGAGAAAATGATACACAGCTGATTGCTTGGACTCATTTGTTCTTCCCAACTTAGAAAAAGAAAAGTATTTTTAGCCCACTGAGCTTTCATAGCCACAGGCAATGAAAATATGTGGCTGGGCTTGGCTCAAAAGGAAAACCTGTTTTGACATACTCTTAGGTTAAAAATTTTTCTTTAAGTATGTTCACATTTACCCATGAGTTGTTGGTATGACGAGGGTAAGGCAGGTGGGCCTTATTTATTTAGAAATTACCAGCAGTTTCCCTGTGAATTTCAGTGCACCAGGACCAACAAAAGAACTTGCTGTCTGCTAGTTCATGGGGTTGAGGGGAGACACAGGGACTGGACGATGACGACTGGATTTTCACAGAGTTGTGGCAGGGGCATGCATAGTGAGGTTGTGTGCCTTAGTTTCTTATTTAGGAGACCCAGGAAGGCAGGGCTTCATTTTCTCCATTACATCCTTGGCACTGTGTAGTACCTGATGCTCAAAAGGAGAATCCATATGTATTAAACAACAAACAGGAATTATTCTGAACTGTGGTGAGAAGTTGATCCCAGGCACTTCTGTCTGCTTTATTAGGCTTTGCTTCTGTGTCTCTGCTTTTTGAAAAATCAAACTAAACAACAAAATATTGTGCCCAAGTAGCTCTCTTGCCTTAACTGCCAAAGCTGGAACTTGTTGACAGAGGCCCTGGTTTCTAAATCACAGCTTTTTTTTTTTGCACTATTCCACTTGAAAATCAAACTCAATTTCTTTTCTTTTTTAATTTGTCTTCCTTCTGTGGTGGTTGTAGGGAGAGGGGTGGAAAATGGTAATAGGAGATTATTAACATGCACAACTTTTGCTTTGTAGCAGGAGATGAAAATATTTCTACCTAGTTTGAATGGGTGGCTTTAAAGTTCATTTCCTAATTTACTCTCTTGCCACTTCCTCTTGGAGTATAGTGATAAAACACTTAAAATATGACTATGTAGGAAGAATTGTTTCACAAGCAGATTAAAGTTTCTTCTTTTTTTAATGGATTCACTCTTCTGTAACATTTTGAATTTCACGTTTGCAGGCCATTTAATGAACATTTTCTGATGGCATGCAACTTTTTCTTTCTTTTTTGCGATGACAGATAATATTTTACTTAGCATTTTCATGTACTACCTGCAATGATGTGTTTTTAGAGCATCAGACTCTCCCTTCTTAAGACTTGTTAGTGAAGTAAGATCTCTTGACCTGGCTTGGATTAGAATCAGAGTTAATTCTGAGCGGCCTTCTTTTAAAACCTGACTCTTGAAAAAATTCAAGTACTTTGGTTCTGATAATATACATTTTTAAAATGAGCATAGTTAGCTCATCTTCACATGAAGAGTAGGCTATACTCTAGAGATTCCTTTGAAAGTAGGTTACTTTTTACCCTGAGTACATTTTGTGGTGGAATAGTCCCATAAACAGGAGACAGTGAGAGGTGATATGGGAAAAGTTGAGAGACTAGCCTACCCTCTCCACTAAAAACCATGTCTGTGTCTGACTCTGTCATTCATTCAAACAATCAATCATCTGTCTATCCTTCCATCCATCCATCTATCCATCCATCCATCCATCCATCCGTCATCAGTCATCAATGTTTCTAGCTCCCATACTGGCACCTTAGTTACACTGAGGAGTAGTGCATAGGTCACATGCTGGTAGCAGAGTAGTGACAACCTTTGAACAGCACAGTATTTACTTTACACTTAATTTTTTTCCCACTGCTTTTCAAGTGCACCATTCTGTGTACCTATCAGTGGTGTTTCTTGGGCTTGACTGCCCGTTAGAATCACTTAGCAGCTCCCAGACCAATTAAATCACAATCTGCAAGGGGTGGAACCCAAGCCCCAGTAGTCTTTAAAGCTCCCCAGGTAATTCCAGTGTGCAGCCATGGTTGAGGAACACAGCTTTATAATCTTAAAACTGAGCCACTTCATACATTTATTTTACTTGGTTAGGCCCCAGAGACATTTGCATCTTATCCTGAGCATGTGATTTAAAGCCAGACAGGTTTTTGGATTATGATTCAAATTCTAGTTCTGCGACTTTTTGTATGAACTTTGGCCTCATTTTTCTTATTTATAAAATGGAAGTTAGGATGACTCATTTTGCAGGGGTGTTTTGGGGATTAAATAAAATAATTCACATAGAACTCTTAGCGCATACCTGGCACACAGCTGCTCTTTAAAGACCAGCTGTTATTATTATTATTATCAGAGTTTGAATTGGTTTGTCTCTTTTTCTCTTCTCAGGTTTGTACAAATTTTGAAATTGACAGAATTTGTTTTTGTAGTTAGCCACGTACTTTGGATATTTCTAAATGAACATCAAGGAGAATAGACAGATAGGCATAAATCCAGGGACTTTACTCTGGAAAAGGATTCTTCCTTGATGTTTAAATATAGAATGAAGAGTATGGTCACTGATGGACTCTCTTCTAGATCATCCCAGATTAGGAGAGGGGTGCAACTTTAAGTGAAATACCATGTGCATTAAGATGATAACTGTGAAACAGTTTTATAAATAGTCTTTAGTGGCAAGGAGCCCCATGTTCCTAAAACACTGGGTTACAGTACTATGGTGCCTTTTATCTTCCATATGATGATCAAAAAAACATTGGAAAAGGTTTACATAATGTTTTAAATGTTCCTATTTCAGAAAAGTGTATTATGGATAATTAAAATAAAAGAATTGGGTGCTTTTGAGAGTCACATTTGTTTAAGTTTATTGTCCTTTGTATTATGCTCTCTTACACTGACTGTGGCCCACTAGTCTAAACATGAAGACTTCTTGTTGAAATTGGATACATGTTGATTTTCCACTTTGGCTGAATCTTCTTTCAAAACAGAGAAATCTCTTCAGTCAGGATCAAGGTTTTTTGTTTTTTGTTTTGTTTTGTTTTTTTTAGTTCCTTCATCTTCCATTGCCTTGTCAGTAGGTACTCAGTAAATAGTAGGTCTGTATCTATCTAGTCTTCTCTCTGCCTCTGAATGTGCTTATTTATGGAGGGAAGTGAGGTGTAGTAGATGTAGTAGCTCAGGTCTGAGCACATAGGCTTAACTCTCTGCTATCCTTTTTACTGTGATGTTTGGCAAGTGAGTAAACTTCCCTGTGACTCAGTTTCTTCATGTGTAATAATTGGGATAATAGGATTTATAATAGGCTATCATGATCATTAGTGTTTGAACTTGCATTTGGTCTATTGGGGAGACTCAAGTGCTACAGAGTGGTTCACAGACCTCTAATATAGGTGTCAAGTCTGGGCAATGTTATGGTAGATGTAGTTGAAACCAAGTGCAAAGTTGGGATTTATTAATATCAATTAGACATTGTTGGTGAAATAGCTTCACTAATACGCATCATACAGTTTAAAAGTAGGTTTTTATCAAGTTGTTATTTAAAAGAATGCTCTTTAAATTCAGTAGGTTTTTACATATACATTCATTCCCCGATTGAAAGATAAAAAGCTCTAGTTACTTTTAAAAACTGATTCACTTTGCATATGATTCATACAAAAATATATAACCAGTTTTATACATGATGTGTGTCTTAGTCATCCCTGTAAAATGGAACATGCCAACTCTGTAATGAGAATAACTGGTTGACCATGTAAGAGAATTGTGTATTATGAAAGCACTTTTAGTGTGCATTCCAAAACCTTACCTCCACTTTTTAAATTTTTTTCCTGACTCGGCAAGGACAGTTTCCTGTAGGGTTGGGATATAAGACTGCATTTCAGTGGCTGAAGGAATAAGTGAATTGAAGTTGGAAAAATGAAGACTG